GGGCAGCAGCAGAGCTGCGAGCCCGGCCCCGGGGACGAGCCCCTCGCGCCGCAGGCGGGACTCAAGAGTAGGGCCCGGGCCTTTAAAAGCGCCCGAGGGCTCGGGAAGGGGCTGAGCTATGGCCCCAATTTAGAAAAAAGGCACAACACTGTTCCTGGTGGCCTGTACCTGGCCGGTCTTCAAAGCAAGCCCGCACGGAGTTTAAGCCCAGTACAGTCCTGAAAGCTTCTAGCTTCCAATTTCAACCCCCCCTCCACCGGACAACTGGCTGGCACAGACAGCTTTGTACCACTCACCCTCTTTAAGCTAAGTGAGGTTTGATCCTAAACACCAAAGACAGCAATTCTACCCCCAAAAGCAGTCAATTAAACATGAAGCCAGGTTGTAATCTAGGACCAAGAGAAAGGGACTGAGCCAACCAGACACCCCTCTTCCATACAAGCTACCCGTCACCTGCATTTTCTGTATGTAAAAGTACCTTGTATCAGAACATGAACAGAGCTGAATGCTGCTGCATGAAGGACAGAAGCCCGTGTGCATGGTGGGAAGCCAGAAACCCTGAAGACTTAAGGATATTCAGCAAGTTGAGCTCAAGTTTTCAACACAAGTGGAAACAAGGCATGAATGCCGTCCTCTACCTAAAGGTTGACAAAAATCAAACCAAAGGTTAACAAGACTATCAGGACTAGGACCAAGCTTTTTTCCTCTTCAGAAGGGATTTTTTTCCTGCCTAAACTTCTGCTCATAGAGGCTTATTTAGATAGAGAGAAAGTGAAATACATTAGCATAAGTCTACGAAAACAAATACTTAAAGAAAAATCCACATGACAAGAAGAGAGCTACTTGCAATTAAATAGCCTCAGAAAGAAAATAAAGTCCCACTACTTAAGTCTTAAAAAAAACCAAACCACTCAAAACAAACATGCACACACACAAGAAAACCCCAACAGAATACAAAAAACAACCTCCCCCCTACAAAGAAAAAAAAGCAAATAGTATGTCAAGCACAAGATGTACCATCAGAGCCCTACATTGGAAAGGAGCTACAGCAGCCATGGTTCGCCCCCACCCCCATCCAATTTATCTCTATCACTTACACTTTTAACAGTCTTCTTCAAAAGATTTTACACTTCAGCATATTTCTGAACTTTTGTAAGTGCAGTTTGTCTGCCACAGACTCATGCACACACAGGCGAATACGACATAAGCTTCCTAAACAGTTCTCACTCTTGCATTGTTTTTAAGGTATATTGGAGTCAGTTCAGTAGCTTCAGTTCAGATGTCTCCATCTTAGATTCAACTTCATTCTGTTTTCATTTCTCATTCTAAGCTTCATTCTTACTAGGTCCCTGTGCATCTCCCACTCCCTGTACATTTTCAAGCCACCTGAACTGGGGGAACCATCCCTACATGGCAAACACTCTTTTACCATTTTTCTCTTGTACACATTTCAAAGCATTATTTCCACCTGAATTTGATCTACACACCGTATCTTCTGTCCAAATTCAATTTTACACTTCAGAGGCTTTTTGCATTCTGCACAGCACTGTTTATACCTTCATTCTAGATGCATCCTTTCTAGATCTGAAACCAAGGTATTTGCATACATGATTTGCTCTACTTCTACTGATAAAAGTATAAGCTACAGAGCCACCTGTTCCTCAAGCAATTTTTGCATACACCTCATGTATTCTTTTGCTTTTGAATCGCATGCTTTTGCATGCTTCCATTTAAGCCTTACAGCTTGTTCCCCATGCTTCCAAATCCAATTTTATATTATCACATCCAATCTCCTGCTACTTGTATACAACATACCAGAACCCATTCACCAAGTCTGGACTGATTTTTTTTAAAAATTTTATTAAAATGCTTTGGATACAGATGGTTTTTTTTTTTTGCAAAAATATGTATAGTTCTCCCATTTCTGGAAATTAAAGCAAGCACTTCTATGACAGACTTAAGAGTTACCTAAGTTTACTATAACTTATCTGTACCCCAATTCCTGAAGTATATATTAAAACTTTACAGCAAAACATTTTAGCAAGTATTTGTATATAGGGAATGTACCCTATAGGTGTACAGAGTAAACGATCAGAGTTATTTACTACTGTTTTCTTTCTTTCTTTCTCCAGTGGTAGAGACACCACCTTCACAGAAGAATGTGCTATGTCAGGGCACCAACCTTCTAGACACTATAAGTGCAGAGCCATAGTACATTTAGATAATTGGAACTACTGGGTTTTGTTTATTAACAGGAATTAGGAGACCTACCACCCTGATGCACTGCGAGTCACAGCAAACTATCCTAAAGAATCTAAATGTAATACTGTAGTGTTTCTGACTGAGCAAGAGATTGGCAGTCTTCTTCAGCTCGTAACTAGAACCACTATGATGAAGGTCAGGTTCACAGCAGCATCTTTGTACTAAATCCACAAACAATCTTGGCTCCACAAATGCTCTTAGAACCCTTATACGTGTTATGAAGTGACAAAAACCCAACGGAGACCACTTCTGTGACCTTGGCTTGCATACAAACTCTAATGGGGACACACTGCAGTCATTTTATGTTTTAATCACCTGAAATTCTAGAGGCAGGCAGGCTCTCTATATATCCCAGGGTGAGTCAGAGTCAAATTTCTGCTACTGAAAGGGCGGGGGAAAACAATCAGCCATCCATTCAATTTTTGCCTCACGGAAGGCTCAGTTTAACTTAGTGAAATGTGAAGGATAAAAGATTTCTAAATAAGTAACAGTGTTAGACTCTAGGCCAAAATAAAGAGTAAACACCATTATTGCAGCACATTAGCCCATTTCTGATTGAAAAAAACTGACTTGTTTCTGACACTACACTATAACCCGTTACTGCAGGTTGCTTTTTAGTTGTGCTTCTGTAGAGAATGGATGGCAATGCTAATCATAACAAAAAAATTCAAATGTCAGAAGCTGGGTTGAATACACAAAACTAGTTCATGGTAAGAGAGTCTTACTTTTTCAAGTGTATGATCTTAAATGTTTGCTAAAACCACTTGCAGAAGTGACAACTCCCAGAAAGCCTGGGAAATACATTACTGAATATATTTTTTAAAAGGGTGTTTCATTTTCCCTTACTAGGAATAACAAATGTTTGTGAAGGGAATAAAGTGCTAGGTCAGCTCAGAGTTGAATCTATTTCCCATGTTACAGCAGTATAATCCCCACAGTAAATAGAATGAATGAGAGCAAGTTTTGATAGCAGAGAACACACACAGCTGGGATTATTCTCGTTTCCATTTGTAGCAGTTCATGATATAAACAATAAGTGGGCTAGGGAAGGGTGAGGGAGGCACATGGTAGACAAGTTTTTACAAGATTCTCTCAGACACCTTTCACTACAACATAAAGGGTGCTTGCCAGTTACTAGAGCTTTGATCAGTTTAAACTAAGGATCACCAACCCTTGAAGAGAAAGGCATGTCTTTATTTAACTGAAAAAGAGGCGCTCTAGACAGCAATGAAACTTTAGACAAAATCTGCCAAATATAAAATAAACTGGTTTAGTCTACATTAATAAACTTAAGATATGCAAGTGTTGAACACTTTTCATGCTACAATAACCCCACACAACCACCTCATGATTTTTACTGTTATAGTACACTGCAACCCTGCAACATTCCACATTGTAGAGTGAGCCCAGTAAATAGAACCTGCCACAGTAGAAAGACTGCTGATGGGTCATCACTTTAAGGACCAGAGGTTGGTAATTTAATTCAAAACACCTAAACTTGAGGCAGCAACAAAAACAGGTGTGCTTATGTGCCCTTTCCCTCCCCCCACCCCCACAACTAAAATCCCTGTGAATTAAAAAAAAAACAAAAAAAAAACAAAACCTTGATTGCACAAGTCAGTCAACAGCACCCTCTTTACGATCAGACAATGTGACACAGCACAACCATCCTACAGATCAGTTAAGCCCAAATCCACGTTTATTGAGGACTTCTATATCATGATACTTTGTTCAGTAATTTGGGAAATATCTAATACCATTAAATATGTTTTAAAAAACCCTAACAGACTCTGGACCAAATACAACAAATGTTAAATTAAAAAGTTAGAAGGGACACTGTTTACATTAACACTTTCTTTAAAAAATATAATTGCTTTCTTATTAAGTCAATTAGCCACAGTGGTGAGACGTGTTCTTTTTCAGCTGCTACAGTGCAGTGTGCTGAATTTTGCACCCCAGCCCCATTGTAACTGAAAGCCATGGTTTCCATGGGAAACGATGGCAACTGAAAGGGACAATTTGCACCTGTGTGCAGACTGCGTTCTCTCCCAGTTCTGTGGGGGGGGGGGGGGGGGGGAAAGAGAAGGAGTTGTGTCACCACTGTGCAATAGGATAGCTGAAAACCAGGAGTCTCTTGGTCAATGCCAGTATGTGGTTGGAAAACCTTCCATGTTCTAATAGAAAAGTCCATAGGAAGCTGTGAACAGGATCAGTCCAGAGGAGTAAGACTATGTCTGTCCATTTATCAGTCAATGTACTGAGATAGCCAACGAAAGCCTTCACCATAACCTTGCCTTTTCAGCACGCTGCACATGAACACTTCCATGGGACGTGTATTCAGGTCTTTCAGTGGCACATTACCCTGAAATCAAGATGAAATAATCAGTGGAAATCAACATAAAGTAGTCAGAATTCAAGCACTAAATTCACAGGTGCCAAAAGATACACCTCCCTGTCTTCAGGGAAACAACCAGCTGGCCAAGATTTTCTTAATTTTATTTTCCAGATTTATGTAATTTTAGAACGGGGTGGACAAAATACAACCCATGAGCCAGATGCAGCCTACCAAGGGATTTTATCCAGCCTGTGGTGGGTCCCTCAGCCCTGCCCAGCACCAGGTGTGACCTGGGCCATGGCACTGGCAGCCAGTCCAGCTGCCATCGGGTACATGGCAGGGTGGGGACAGTCAGATGGCTTCCTGACAGCCCATACTACCTGGTGCTGCCTGGGCACCCTGGGTCATTCCCCCACAACCTACCACAAGGAGGTGTCCGAACGAGCAGGAGGGCAGGGTCTCCATGGGGACCTGCCTGGGACCCTTGTGGGAAGGGTGCACTCTGCTAGGCAGATAGGATGGGGGTGTGGGTCAGCATGGAGCAGTGTCTAGGAGCAGAATGGGTAGGGCTGGGCCTGGGATCTTGGGGCAGTGACAGTACAGGGCCAGGGCCCAGTCAGGATCCACTTCCCACACATTCCTACCCATGGAACTCACTGCAGGGTCCAGTGGGGAGTGGACTGCAGCCCTGCCCCAGCCCTGCACTGTCATTACCCTGCAATCCCCATCCCCACCTACCTGCTGCCCCGTCTCATCTGCCCAGCCATGTGTGCCCTGCCTGTGGGGGTCCCAGAGACACTACCTGCATGCCCGCCCACTGCATCTGGCACCCCTGGTAGTGGGTGCAAGGCAGAAAGACCCGAGGCTGGATAAAAATCAATCCTGCTTACTCCCACCTTGACCTGCAACAGCTCACTGAACCTCCTTTAATGGCCCACCAGCCCAAATAAACTGCCCACCCTTTAGAAAGTCCTATAAGTACCAATATTAATAGCAAAGATATCAACCTAGACACCTGGCTGCTCAACTAGAGAGCTAAAACTCTGGCAGTTGAGCAACAGGACCACTTAAGCAAAAACCTTAAAAGAGATAAAAACCGGTGCAAGCATTTCTATATAAAGAGAACATAAACTGGTGCTTTAAAACCGCAGTACATAGAGTATATAGCTTGTGCACGTTCTACAGGAACTGGATGCAGTTTTCTGCCCTATATGTTTAAGCATTTGTAATGAGTTACCTTTCAACACCTCTGTTCATAACAGCATAAAAACTATTAATTAAATACTTGTACTTCATTTAAGTTGGATGAACAGTTAAAAAAAGCTTCCAAGCTGAAACATTATAGTAATCTCTCAAATACCCACTCTCTACAACATATAGCAAGTCTCAGCTGCCTAGAATTCCCACTAGCATTATTGTTTTAGAGCCTGTCCAGATGTTATTTCAAGTAGTAATCTGGTCACCAATGCTTGATTTGCAGTCCTGCTGCAGTCCTGCGGAATTTGTTAAAGAAGCGTTCATTCTGTAATATAGAACCCAAGTTTTACTAACAACTCAAGCTCTTCTTTACCTTTCCCGTGGTCTGTCCATAAAGCCCAAAGATCTCCCGCAGTCTCTCCTCACTGATGGCCTCTGGTCTGTCAATTTTATTACCCAAGATAAGGATTGGCACATTTGATATCGTTTCATCTGTCATTAGTGCCTGTAGGAAAGACAGAAGTGTTAACCTCATGCATTAAAAAAAGTTATCTATAAAAATGTATTTCTTTGCTCTAATGTCAGAAGATGGTCATAAACTGTTGTCAGTTGAAATATGCTATTTTAAAGAAAACTCCTCTCATAAGAGAAGTGTCACCGTAACAGCCTCTTCAAGACGGCCATTATCTAAAATGTGTGGATTATTTAAAAATCCTCAGGCCATTCTAAAAATAGCGGATTAGAGACCCATGTAATGTATAAAGATTTAGTCATTTTAAAAATATTAATCATGCAAACATAGTAAGAAATGCAACATCTTCCTGTGACTCTCCAATAGCTCATCTATCAACACCTTACTGGTTTAGTTACCTATTACAAAACACCTACATATTAGGAAATCAGGATGAACCTGAGAAAATGCAAGCCAAATTTTTAAGGGAGGAAAAAGAATGTAGATCTGAGGCCTAGACCTTGTTGTACACTAAGGTCTAGCCCAAAGAAGAAGAGGAATTGTACCAATCAATGGCTCAGACATAAGGGAGAAGGACCAAAAAACAAACAAACTATGAAGTGGAAGATTTACATTAAGCTCAACTTTGGACTCCATGAGACGTGAATGATCTGCACAGTCCACCAGAAAGACAATACCATTAATTGCTGGCAAGTAATTCTTCCAAACCCGACGAGCTGGAATAGAAAAGGACAAACATCCCTGTGAAAATGCTATTTTGAAGAGATTCGATGCCTACACCCAGAAGAAACAACAGGAATCTTTTCCCCTCAATTCATAGAGGCAGTTTAAAAGTTTCAGATGAACAGAACAAATCAAAGCTGCAAGGTTGCATGGGAGAAGTGTCAATTCTACCTTTTCCTTTCATTTTCTAATGTAAGGAGATTTTTGCCTGATACTCACTGTTCTAAGAGTGCAGAAAGCAGGATAGGGTAGCGCCTTAGAGACTAACTGGTCCATAGAGGCAAAAGCTTTCATACCGACTCATGTGTCAATAAGCCAGAGCAACAGTTAACTATTTTATGTAAATTTATTCTATCCAGGTTCTTATACCTAGTCCCCATAACTTATGCCTCTGAATCAAGAGGCACAATACCTAGAGAGCTTCTTTAAGCATTACAGTTCAAGGCTAGTCTAATTTGGAATATTGGCTATAATGATGTTTAAAGGGTTGAGAAAAAGTGCTGAACAACTGAGAAGGAAGGGATTTTTAGTTTAAAACAAGCACTACTAAAAGCCTATTTGATTTCAGTCACTGAAATTTTAGAGAAGAGAAATCTTAATTAAGCATCTCATTCTTTCAATTGAGGCTTAAGTTCTATCAACAAAAAGGACCCAGAGAAGACCCTGCACAAGAGCAGGGAGTCCAGACCTGGCATTAAGATTAAGGAAAAAAGCAGAAAAACTTTTCAGATCATCTTTAGGCATTCTAAAGAAACTGAGTAAGGTTCATGATTAAAGTCCATTGCAACCAACTTCAGATTGCAATAGTCTAGTTCCATTAACAAATATGGTAAAAGGTGAGATTTAAGACAAAAGAGAACCAACTGAAAGTGGTTCTCTCTTTTTGCAAGCTGCCAGAACTGCAAACTAAAATGCATCTGATACAGTAAATGGAACTGTAGAAAAATAAAGAGATAGTTAACCTTGCATATCAAGGACATGTACAATTCTAAATGCTGGAATTGAGATTAAAAAAATAAATTAAAAAATCTGATCCATCTAAAGACTAAACTTTAAGTCACTCAAATAAGTCATCATGAAACACTTCCACTTCTTCTGTCATCCACGCCAAGAAGTATATTCTTACCTTGTTCATGCCCACCCAGATCAAAAGTTGTGAAAGTCATTCCAGCAATCGTCAGCTCTTCTGATGCTAAGAAAAAGACATCTTCATTTAGCTCAGCTGCAGCTATAAGCACCCCCACCTTTTTAATGTGCATGCAAAAAATCAGATACAGAATGTATAAGTAATCTATTACCCAAAGAATTACTGATGACCTCTGTTCCCAAAGGTCAGTTTTAAAAGTCTAAGTCTTTCTACATTATAAGCACAAGACTGAGGCATCTTTCAAGACTACAGGTCAGTATTTCCTTGTACGAACCGTTTAGAAGATGAACACCCCCCCCCCCCCCCCCAAAAAAAAACCTGTACACAATGGACCCAGTTAAACTAGATCACTAGGTAAACTCACTTGGATGTAGTGTAGGGACATGCTGACCCAATCTGTCATCTTTGAGCATGTGCAGAAGAGTGGTTTTCCCTGCATTATCCAATCCTAAAAACACTAGTTTTCCAGATTTCTTGTACAATCCTGTATGGCGCGAGGGAAGGAAAGGTAGAAAAATCAAACAGATTTTTTTTTGTTTCAGATAGAAATGCGATCCATATGGCTGTATTATATACCAACCAATAATAACACAATCCACTAACTCCTAAGAATAATATTGTAAAACACTGTATTCCAAAATGTTCCAAGCATAGAGCATGAGATACACAACTGACGCTATGGTTACGCCAGGACTGTACAAAATAGAGCCACTACACTAGACATTTTCTATGAGCCGACTTTCCCCCTCACCATGAACTTAAACATATTTCTATAAAGAGTGTAACCTCTCAAAAAACAACCCCCCCACGAAAAACCCAACAAACCTATGAAAGAGATGACAGCCTGAAAAGAGTGATGCTACATCATATCTACACTTAACTAGATCCATTTTAAAATAGATGAATAGATGGAAAAAAATTCTTAAGCGTAATGGGTTAAAATTAATCTGCCACCCAAGATGGACACTTAAAAGTGAAATTATGATACCATCATTTAGCAGAAGATAGCACTGTGACTTGGCTTATCTAGGGAAGAATGTGAAACAGAATGAAGTGATGTGAACATAGTTCCATCAGTTTCTGTAGATCCTAACCTTTCATTAAAAAAACAAAAACATCCTACTTTGTAAAGGTAAGTCATCCAAATGTGAACTGATTTAGTGGGACTTCAGATCTGCAGAGACCAATAGTGTCAGCACCGTTTAAGAAGAGGGCTTGATTATCAGGAAGCCCTGGCTACCACGTAAGAATTAGAAAATCCCACTGTGGCTAAGTGGAATAAGTGACTTCTTAGACTTCACAGGGAATGGACTCATCAATATTATCATGACCCCTTGCGTAGGCACTCTATGCATAGCAAAACCTGATACAGTAGTGACTAGAGCACTCTATTGGTTGGCAACACTGGCTTGCCACTCGAGAGATATCCCTGTTGGGATCTCACTACAGAATCTTTTGCTTGGTGGAATGGTGCTGGCAGGACACTCCTAGTAAAACAGTCCATTGCCACAGTGCTGAAATTAGTGCCAGAAGGTGGCTTAGCTTTTGGCAAGTTCTTTTGCTCCATTAAAACCTACTATATTTACTCAAATATAAGACACATCCCCCTTCCCTGATCAGAATGGGGAAAAAGCCCCTTGCTTTATATTCACATACAAAGTGGAGGGGGAGGGGCAGGCAGCTGCTTTGGCTCCAATTCTGGCCCTGACCCCAAGTCAGGGCCAGAAGCAGACCCACAGCAGCCTCCTAACCTTCCCTCAGCAGCTTCTGCTTCCCACTGCACACCCATTTCTCTCCCCCTTACTGTCAGGCTCCTTCCCCTGCCCAGCCAATCAGCAGCACCAACACTGCAGCAAGGCCAGGCAAGGGCTGGGCTTCTGTGCTGTGCTCCAGGAAGGAGCAGGCCCCCAAGCAGTGTATGGTGGGGGTAGGGGGAAGGGGCAGAAGATGCAAGGGGTGGGGTGGGGAGAGAAGTGGGTGGAGCAGAAGGCAAGGGGTCCCACCTCCTCTCCTAGCCATTGCTTTCCCTGCTGTAGTGAGGGCAAAGGGGGAAGAAAGGTTCAAGATGGCCCTCCAATATTTAAATTCAATACCTGAAAAATATTAACAAATTTATACATTTTAATATGCAAGGCGCTTTATGCAGGGGATTACCCATCATTAATACATTGGGGAAGATGGGGAGAACATGACATCTTACTTCCACTGTAAGGTATTCTGAGCTTTATTAACAAAAACTGTAAGGGCTAGGTTTTACGGGGACCAACTCACCATTGATTTGATGCCTCTGACATGGTCTTAAGATAACTGACAACTCTGATCAACTAGCAATCAGCTTACACTTTGCGCCCAATGAGTTAGGCAACCCAAGCAGAACAAAAAACTGGACAGTAGAGACTAAAACAGGGGTAGGCAATTACTTTGGCTGGTGGGCTACTTACTGAGTTTTGGAGCTGTCAAGGGCTGCACATATTAAACCTTTCAGAAGATATCATTTTAACAAATCATATACTAAAAATCAAATATCTGCTATAACAGTTAACATTTTATTTAAAAACAGTGCGAGAGAGAGAGAGAGAGAGAGAGAGACGACAATGCAGCAGCTCATCTAGGAGGTGTGGGATGGAGCAGGGCTCATTCAGGGGGCAGGGGCGAGGCGGAGGTTCCCGCTGCTGCCAGACGGCTGGTCTATCAGCTCCTGCTGCTATCACTTGCCTGGGAGGGCACAAGGGGAAGTGTATCCCCGGATCTGCGCCAGGCAGGGCAGGCTGGGGCCAGGGCTATTTCCTACGTACCCTGGCAGCGAGGCAGGTGGCAGCGCCACTGGGAGCCCCAATGCCGTCATAGTAATGTATATAGAGGCAATTGCATAACTGCTCAAAATTAAATCTTTGCTCAAAAAATTAAATTACAAAAATTAAATCTTACTCTTGTATATTGTGTGTGTGTTGGGGGGGCCAGGGAGCACATGCAACAGAGCTCACCTGGGTGGTATGGTGCAGGCATGACCCACCTCTCCCTCGGTCTGGCCTGTGTTTATATAATACATCTGTACCTTCATTTTTCCTGACGATAAGAATTCAAATAGCTACTCAATATGGATGTGGAAGATTAGACTCAATTTTTAGAGGTAGCGGGGAAAGGCAAACTGCAGTAATTTGATACAATTTGCAATAAAATAGTACAGAATGAAGCAGTGCATGTCCAAATGAGGAAAATAAATAAGTCATAATTTGTATACATTTTAAGCTAATTATAACCTTGCCTTCTCCTATTACAAAAAACTTTTAATGAGAATACAAACGTACCAACTGTAATACCATATTCTAGAGGTGCACCAATACATTGGTCCGATATCAGATTGGTACTGATATAAAGAAAATTATCTATATTGGATATTGGCCTTAAGAGGCTGATCATCAGGCCGATAAATGCTTATGCTGCGCATAGCCGCAGCACAGCACATAGGCAGTGAAGACCGCCAAGGAGGGAGAAGTGGCGCAGGGGTACAGATCAAGGCCTTGCCAGGAGGGAGGCAGGCAGGCAGGGGGTTGGAGCTGGGGCAGCGGCTGAGCCAGGCTCCACTGGGAACAGGCCCCGGATCTGTGCAGAGCCAGGGCGGTTCCCAACAAAGCCTGGGCTGGGCAGGGTGTGGTGCTGCTGGGAGAGGGCTACAGAGGGGGAATGCAGCCATCTTGAAATTCACCCTAATGCCCTCATAGTCCCCTGCTCCCAGTGGTGCTGCCACCCGCCTTGCAGCCAGGGTACATAGGAAATAGCCCTGGCCCCAGCTTGCCCCGCCTGGTGCAGATCCAGGGGTACACTTCCCCTTGTGCCCTCCCGAACAAGCGATAGCAGCAGCAGCTGATGGACCAGCTGTGTGGCAGCAGCAGGAACCTTTGCCTCCCCCCTGGATGAGCCCTGCTCCATCCTTTGTCATCCCTGACACACACACACACACACACACACACACACACACACAGAGCTGTGGGGTTGCCATGGCTTGAAATGCTGTTGACTCTGGTGGGGGCGTGTTTCTGGAGTACCTGTGCTAAAACTTGCAGTAGTTTAAAAAAAATGAGATGAATCAGTTCTGATTAAACTAACTCTATGGGTACTAAATGCAAATTCCTATACCTATGTTTAATTTCAAGGTCAGTTTTCAAAACTGCTCCTCACTTCTATGTACTCAGGGAGAACAGCATGACAGCAAGGAACAGGGGAGGGCATTAAGGACTGCAAAGAGAAGTTGGGAAAGAAGGCAGAGAGCAAGGGGGCTACCCCCAGATTTATTTCTTCTGCTGTAGCAGTAGGAAGGGAAAAACTTCAAGACAAACTTCTAATAATTTGGTTCTATACGTGGAAAATTTATAAATTTCTTATAATTTTCTATGTATAGAATCTAATTATTGGGAGGGTCATCTTATAACCAGGGTTGTTTTATATTCCAGTTAATATGGTAAATTTAGTAAGCATGTCTGCAAAAGGGATTGCAAACTGACTTGCAGTGAGATTGAGTTGCTCACCTTAAAACCAATGCAATATAGATGGAATCAAGCCTGATTAGCCCTTAAAAACGCGCTCCAGTTGTATCAGTAAGTTAGCAAATTAATTTAAACTCTTGCTTAATTCAGTTTGAGAGCCTGCTTGGCATCTGCAACAGCTTAACAAGATTTAAAATTATTTAGGTAAACCCATGTAACCCAGGCTTGCAAAATTACCTAGGAATTGCAGCACACTGCTGAAGCCATTGTAGATCCATTCAAAAATGAAAGACATTGCTGAAGATTAACTGCCTGCAAGAAAACACACACAAGACATTTACATCTAAGAAGGCCAAACAACACTTAAGGGGCAGCCAAACAAAGCTGAGAGAGCACTCTCCTCTGTACTGGAAAGTTACTGTTTGAAACTGGAAGCTCAGGTACTAATGAAGCAAAAACAGGTTAAGTGTTCGACTCTGGCACCCCCAAAACAGGGTGAACGTTAAGAATCTGGGCAGTTTTCACACACGTAATGCTGAGCCAACAGTCACTTTCCACAACCAGGGTCTCAGCCCGAACGTGCTACCAATGGCTTGTACAACAACAGGGTGGTTCTGTCCCATTGGTGTATTAGTAGCATCAGTCGCTGCTAAATGGTTGGCAGGCCAATGCTCCACTGCATTCGGCATCACGCTGCTGGCGCGAGCAACAGCTCTTTCCTGCTGTGCCTGTCAGCATCACACTCAACACCACGCTGCCTTTGGCAGTGTCATCTCTTGCACTTGTCTCGATCGTGTGCAAGGGGAAAGCAGGGCCCTATGATCCCATGCAGCTGGTGGCGCAGCTCCAGGAAATGCACCTCGGAGCCTCTTCTAGTTTCAGCATCACCAAAATAAATAAATGGCTGTGGACAGGGGCAGTCGGTGCACTCCGGGGTCGCCCCTTCTCCTTCCTCGCAAGCAGGACCCTGACAGCTCTGCCCGCAACCTGCGGGGGGGGGGACGACGACACAAGCC